AATTCAAGGGGCCTTCAGTTTATTATTGGTGGCTCCCCCATCTCATTGGATTGGTCTCTCCTTGTGGGGTCTGTCCCCTTTCCACTGTCCACCTTCTGGGGAACCTTTCTGATTCTCTCCATCTAAAATGCCACCACTGCCATGCGAGTCCAGCCTGTCTTGGCAAGAAGGAGCCTAGGAGAGTGCCCATGATAACACATGAGCAGAAGCTAGCCTTTCCCTGCCTCATGCTGGCTCCTTGAAAAGGCTGATCTGTGCCACTTCCCCCCACCTTGCTTTGGGAACCAGAAGGCAGAACGGGGGTGGGGGGGTGGGGATGGGTGCTTGAGAGTTAGAACTACTGCCACGTCTTCCTGGAAGAGGGATTAGGGAGAGGGAAACAATGATCATTGTGGCAGTCTCTTACCCTCATCTCCAACTGCTTTTTGGTTTGCTGTTGATGCCTGCAGACTTCTTAGGGGGTGGAAAAATCAAGCTACTATTGCATCATCCACAAATGGCAGGCAGAGCAATGAGCTGGACCCCATTCTCTTGTATCTTTGTGGGGGTCTCCTCCACCACCTTCCTCCTACAGCTGGGAGGGAGAGGGAGCAAGTAGTTCACAGAGACTCCTCTTACTCTCCATTGACAAGGAGAGATTACAGGCCTTTGCACCCCTCAGCAGCTTAGGCACCTTGGGAACACCCCTCACTTCTCTCCCACAAAGTTCTTGTCTTCATCTAGGGAGCAGGAGGACTTCTCCCATCCTGGGCCCTATGGCAGGACAAGTGACCCCCCATCCTCCCCTTCACAAGCAGGAGAGGAGAGTGAATATTCTCCTTTAGACACACAAGGAAATCCTCAAAGAAAAAACCTCCAGCTGTCAGACCCTTCTGTGGTCTGCCACCAGCATGCGTCCGAGCCCCGATGTACACTGACACTCTTTCCATCTTATCTACCCTGCGTGTCCCAGGGGGTGCCCCCCTCAGCCTGCACATATAATTTTACAATTATAGAGAAGGCCAAAAGGGAGCTTTGCTTTGTGTGTAGAACGTAGGGCTCTTGCACAAGGAAGCGATCCCAACACTGGAGTGGGGCTCTTACACAAGGCAACACCCCACTATCAGGCAGGCTGCTGCACAAAAGGATGCCTCTGGAGACAGGATGTCACTTAAGGGATTGCCACTGACAGGGTATATGGCCAGGAAAGGCTGTTACAGGAGAGGCCAGAGGCTGTTGCACGAGGAGGGACCATTGCACAAGCAGTGCCCCTGGGCACAGGCTATGCATGAGAGGTTTTCTGCTCCTGGGGTCATGGTCTCTAGGAGCTGGAGAGATGCTCCACCTGGATGGTGCTGGTGCTGACAGTGAGGCAGATGTCCTTGTGGTGCTCTGAAGTCTTGTAAGGAGTCAGGTCAAAGGAGCACTGTGGGGGAGGGTTAGGGGGATTAGTGTCTCCAGAGGGGCCCCCTGCTGCCCCACCACCTTGCGGCTGGAAGTGCTGCTGCTGCTGCTGAGAGGCTTGGGCTTGGGCCTGAGCCACTTGCTGCTGTGGGTCAGGGATGTTGTGTTTCCGCATGTGCTTCATCAGGTAGGTCTCCTGTGAAAGGGCAAGGGGGGAGTCACAGTTAGGACAGCAGGAACCAGAACTCCAGACACCCCTCTCATGATGAAGAAAAGGCCTGCAACCTTGGGGAACATTTCTAGCACCCCTCTCCCTCACCCAGTGATACTCACCGAGGTGTAGGCCCGGCTGCAAATGGAGCAGGTGTAGACCTTGGCATGCTTCACCGTGTGCGTTGCCAGGTGAACCTCCAGGGAGGCAGCATCTGTGTACGCACGGTGGCAGTTGTGGCACTTGAAAGGCTTGTCTTTGTTGTGCTGCCGTCTGTGGGACTGCATATACGAGAGCAGGGGTGGAGGAAGAAGGGAAGTGGGAGGAACTGGATGTTAGAGCTGAAGGTGACTTCTCAGGTCCTAAGGTCCCTAGTTCCTGGCGCCCTGAGTAACAAGGCCTCTGGGTCCCTTCCTCCGGGGGCATTCTCATCCCTCCTTAACCCCACTCCCCCAGTCTCTCTTGTACCAAGCATTATTTTTCTCCAAGTGTTTTCATCGTACTAGAAGAGACGTATCTACCACATCAAGCAGGCTCTACTCCTCTTCATTTCCATCTCACTCCTCCTCCTCCTCCTTTCTTCCCCACCTGCTCTGCTTTTCCCTTCTGGTAATTCCTGTTGCTCTTCAAACTGTCCTGGGCTCTCCCTGCTGTCTACAGTCCCTCTTTCTCCCCCACACTGACTGGCATCTCCTACAAACTCTCAACATTTTGCTCACTCCTTTTGCTCATGCCATTAAAGCAGCTGGCAGTCCAAAAGAGGAAAAAAAAAAAGTGCTGCATGACTTTTATGTTGCTTACATAATTTCAAAAGACTCGACATGTTCAGTACTACAGAACCCTCCTCTAAACATTCCCTGGATCTGGAGCAGCTTTCTTGCATTTCTCCATTCTGTTCCTTGCTCTCCCAAACCCACCTCCACAGGTGCCTCACTATGAGGAAGAGTCTCATCCTCCATACCTCCACATACTTCTCCCACTAGCAATTCGGGTGAGCTTGCAACCTTACCTGCAGGTTGGAGAGCTGGGTGAAAGCCTTTTCACACCCAGGGTGAGCACATTTGTAAGGTCGGTCCCCGGTGTGGATGCTGCCAGAGGAAGAGCACAAATGGGAAACAGTAAGTAGGATATCACAGCATCATGCCCCGACCAAATCCTACAGCCATTCAAGCAGGGTTGGGTGTGAAGTTGTACCTAGACATTAATTGGGTCAGATAAGAGGGACATAGACCCATTTTTTGTGCTCAAAACGAGAAGAAAAAGTGTAGGGAAAATATGGAGGGTAAAGAGTTCAGATATTGATTGGGTTAAGTATGAACAGCTCAGAAGTAACTGACCAGCTTCGTATCTGGACCCTGTGCAAGAGCTAGGAGTCTGTGGGTACAGGCACTCTGCCTCAGCCTCTGGACCCACATGATCAAGGTGTGTGCATCTCTGTGCCCCCACCAACAAAGCCATAGAACGGTCAACATGCTCCTCAGTGGGGGTACATACACATTCTCTTTTCCATATTATCCAACTAAGATTAGCTAAGTCTGTATCTGTACCCCCCTGCAATGCCAGAAAAGCTTCCACACACTTAGGCTCAGTGCCCTGCCTGCACAGTGCCAGGCGGGGATGCCCTACAGCCAATGTTCATCTCTCTCTCTGTGCTCCCCAAGGTGCATGACCAACGATTCCTAGGGCTAGCATGTGCCCACCTCTGCCCTGATGTGGTCAGTGTCTCCTGCGCAGCCTCCACTCCATCCTCTCTTGGGCCGCGTCCTCCTGTGGATGCAGCCAGCCGTCTCCCCTGCCCGCCCCCCGCATGCTCGGCGCGTGTGCTCCACAGATACATGCCGGCAGTGTGGGGCGGGGGGGGGGGGCCAGGCCAGGCCCCCAGCCTCCTCTGGCCCTTACCGTGTGTGCTGCTGCAGATGGGAGAGCTGGCGGAAGGCCTTCTGGCAGTAGCGGCAGCTGTAGGGCTTGGCCCCCGAGTGGATGCGGAGGTGCTGGGCCAGGTAGGAGGTGTTGGCGAAACTCTTGGAGCAGTGAGGACACTTGTGCGGCTTGACAATCGCTGTGTGAAGCTTGGAGTGGATCCTGCCGAAGAGGAGGAGGAGCAGCAGCAGTTGGACACGACCACCATCTGGCTAGTGCTGATGGAATGAGGGCACAAAGGGGGTGGGACAGTACCACACTATCTGGCTACACAGAGGAACTCCAGATGTGGACTGAACCCACTCGGTCTCAAACAGCACTCCTCTGGAGTTTGAGAGATCAAGGCCCATCTGCACCGGGGGGCCAGAGAGAGGAGTTATACAGTCTGGATTGAGGGGCACTGGCAGAGCTGTGTGTGGGAAGCCCGTGACTGGAATAGCAGAGGGGATACAAGTCAAGACAGAGATGCTCAGCAGAGCTGTGTTGGGATGATGGGGAAATGGAGAACCCTACACTTACTCAAGACTTCCTTTAATAGTATGAACCCTACAGCCTCACAGAAAACAGCACCTCTGTACAGATGCCCCTTGGTGCAGGTTGCCTTGACTTTTATCCCCCATAGTCAGTAGCAACAAGCCCCAGGAGCTGGGGAACGTGACTGCTGATTTGCTGTGTGGAAGAGCAGCCTATGGGAAACTGTGAAGTCTCCCCAGGTGGCCTCCCCACTGCTGGGTGTTTGCAGCATGCTGGGATGACGGCGGCATGCAGTTCGGAAGGCCCTCAGCCTTGTCCGGCCCTTACCGTGTGTGCTGCTGCAGGTGGGAGAGCTGGCGGAAGGCCTTCTGGCAGTAGCTGCACGTGTAGGGCTTGGCCCCTGAGTGGATACGAATGTGCTGGGCCAGGTAGGAGCTGTTGGCGAAGCTCTTGGAGCAGTGAGGACACTTGTGTGGCTTTGTCTCCGTATGGGACTTGGAGTGGATCTGCATCTCCGACTTGGAGTAGAAGGTCAGCGAACACATCCGGCACCTGACCGGGGTGAGGGGAAGAGACAGTATCACATGGAGACAGGCCCCAATATGCATCAACACCAATCAGGTGAGGTGCTCAATATGTGAGGCCTCAAGTTCTTGAGTGGAGAGGGAGCAGCCCCTTCTCTGTAGCTCTGCAGTCCTCTCCTGGGATACTGTGTTCAGCTGTAGGCCCTTCCATCCCAGGAAGAGAGTGGAAAAAAGACTGAGAGGGGGACCTAAGACAGTGGGCCTCAAATATACTCTGGGCCAGATAAATTAAATAACTTAAAGCCCTTGACTCTTCCAAGATTTTGGTTTGGCATACAGATAAGAAAAGGGAGACAGAACAAAACCTTCAAAATATTCTGAGGGAATAAAAGATAGATGTGGAGGGAGCAGAAAAAATAATTCCTAGACCAAAAAAACAGAGCTTTGTCTGTCTTATTTATTTTGGTCATAAAAAAATCAGCCTAGAAACCCCAGGTTAAAGTTCCATTTGACCATAAAAACTAAACACTGAGTACTGGAAAGTCTGCAACAGCAATTAAGATCACAACCACCTTAACCCTGTAACACTGTATTAACTAGCTTGAACTGGATGTTAAAAATGAGAAGCACTGAACATTACTTGCATATGTAGTTTCACATGCGTCTTCAATAACAAGTGCAATGATTCACCATCCTATGTTTTTATTGTTTTCACATTACTATTGAGTTTTATAACATTCTATGAATTTGGACATAAATTAGAATGAAGTTGAGGCATATATGTATCAGGTGGAACCTTCAAAAAAAGTGAAAAAATGACTAGCATCTGTCTGCTACTAATCAGCCATTGGGACTTGTTAGCTACTGCTACCGGCCAGCTTTCACTTCTCCAACACTGGCAAATGGCTATATAAGAGGTTTTGCCACTGCATAATTAAAGTTAGCAAAAGTTTTAGTAACTGCTGATATGATAGAAAGGTAAGTCTGAGTCTTTGAATTTTCTTCAGAGTACCACCACAGGGCAGAGTAAGGTTGTTGTGGTTTTATTTGTTAATCTGTAGACTCCTCAGTGTTTTGTGGGATCTCTAGCACTCATGTTCAGAACTTTAAGGTTGATATCCAAGAGCTCCAAAATACAGCTAACAGACTGGCTGACCTTTTTTCATCTTTCATTGAAGGTTGACAATTTTCCTGTCTGGAAATTTCCTTATATTTTAAAAATGTTTAAGAATGCTCAGTAACAGGACTCCCCACAAAAAAAATCTGATCCCATTCCTCCTGGTTATCTCATACTTTTGCATATGAAGTCCTCTCCCCTTCTCCCCCCCAACTCCTGACTCAAAAAAAGAATGCTTTCCTTCTGTATGTTACAGCTCCCATACTGGAGTCATGTACCCTGTATATAATGTGCAATAGTTTGATTAGCATATGTAAAGTATACATAAATTTACACAACACCTACCTGACACTTCCACAGGCTACTAAGCATCGCCTCCAGTTGAAGTCCAGTTGTTGGACATCCCAATTCCCAAATACAGATGCTTACCCACCGTTCAGAGGTCTTTCCTTTTCATGACTAGCTCATTTTCAGTCATATCCCCATTCACCCTCTCTCTTTCTCCCTCCAACTTTTATTCCAAACCCTACTATAATGCATATGTCATAAAGTATGTGCTTAAATAATATACATTCATCTGGAACACACATTGCCTGAGTGTACCTGTCTTAATCACAAAAGCCTATTTAGGAGTTACATAAATCCTCATAGACCCAAGCTTAAACTCTCTCTTCAGGAACAACATAGAGGAAGTTCCAAGCGTCGACAGCTGCAGAACTACAAGCATCCAAAAGTACTAGCAGGATTCTAAAAAGCCAAAAACTCAATTGACTCAAATACTGTCACTTACTTCGTCCAATTTTCCCCTTTTTTCGAGAAAGTTTCATACCTAAACTTAGACACGTGTATTTGAGTGGTACTTAAAAACAGGGGATTTTTCCTTGAAAGCAGTGATGCCTGGGGAGGGGAACCGAAAAAACAAAACAACAACACCCCCCCCACACACACACTTTCAGCTACACACCAAACTGGAAGAACCCTTTGGCATCAATAAGTTACCGCAATTAGCCTGTAATTGCAGGTAATTACATTGCATAATCTTATTCATAAACTTTTTAAGGTCCATATTAACTAATCATGTTTCCTTCTATTATTACAATTCCAGAACTTAACTCTTCTAAAGTTGGAATCCTTCTTAAATTAAAGGACAAGCTACTAGAGTGCAACATTATGGTTAGATGGTCTGAAGTGACTAATGAAAGCGTTAGTATGGAAATGAGGCCAAAGTAGGTATTGCCTTTGTAAAGAACAATGATGTTGGAACACTTAAAAAATTATGATGAACATATGTCTGGGAAATGTAAAATGGTAAGAAACTTAGGGAATCTAATCTATTTAGCTTGCTTGTAAGGGAAGATCAAGAGTCACCAGATACTTACATGGGGAGAAAACATTAGATAGCAGAGGATCCTTTAATTCAGCAGTCAAAGATATGACAAGATCCAATGATTTCAAGTAGAAGCTCAAAAAACTGAAGTGGAAGCAAGACAAGTTGCCCATAATGAGGTTACTAATAGCTGGAATAACATACAGAATATTGTGGTGGATCCCCTGTCACAATAGGTCTAAATCCAGACTGGAGGCCATATTCTCAGCAGCTAGTTGCTTCCTCTTGAAGATCTGGGCCTTGAAAGCTGCTCAAAGGCACATTACAGGGTTTGCTATAGTAATCATTCAGTGAGGTTCTCTGGCCTGTCTCATACATGCGGTTAAGTGGGATGATCCCTTCTGGCCCCTAAAATTTGTGAATCTTGTGACAGCATCAATTCTAATACCCCTCCTACTAGCTGCACATATCTGGAAGAAAGGCCACCTAGAATGCCTGCTCATATTTACTCTTTACAACTGCAGATTAATGCTAACAGGCCTATTATCACCCTGAAAGTCCAGAAAAAGCTTTGTATTTGCCACAGCTTCTTAGCAAAACAGTAAAGTAGAATGCTGTCTACTGCATAGTTCTTTGGGTTCTTTAGCAAATTTCTTGTTTAAATGTCTAAGGCATTTTCTATTTGTAAAACTAGGCCCCAAGTTATTTAAAACAAAAGGTTGTAACTGGATCTATTATAGAGGCATTCCCACCATAACTGAGTATTTCCTTTTTTTTTTTTTATAATTGTAAACTACTGTAACAGTGGAAATTTGGATATGATCCTTGGCTTGAATAGGAGCTTGGGGGAAAATGTACAGAATTAGCTAGTCTGGAAGACAGAAGGATATTTTGCTTTATGAATATTTTTCTGACCTTTCTGCACCAACTATTATGAAAAGCAATTTGGCTCAGAAACTCCACTTCTACTTTATTCTGCTTTGCTCAGCAAGGCCCAAGGCCACAGAGAGGTTGTTCTGACTTGGCAGCTTTTCATCTATAGAAGTAAAAAAATTTATACACAGGTCAGCATCATCTTTCTCAGACAGTCTGAGAAACAAAAGGAGTTGAAGTGACTCACCAAAGGTTACCTAAGAATTCAGTAGTGGAGTTGCCAGATCCAATTTCAAGGCATGAGTCAGGATTAACCTGAGTCTCAGAGATGGAGTATGTCACAGCACCTACCATGAAAGCTGCCAAAGTCTACAGCTTTCTTCATGTTCACCTCTATATGATAACAATGCCCCTCAGACATATATGTATAAGCTAAGATTTAATGACAATAAAGGGGCATTGCAGGTTAAGTGTAAGTCAGAATTTTAAAACAAAACTGGGAAGTATGGAAATGTAAAATCAAGGTAGCTTCAACAAATTTCAGCTATCTTCTCAACCACTTAACTGAAAGTCAGGATTGAATGTTATGCCTATCCATGACAATGAGCTCACAATATCAGCACTGTTATTATACTGCAAGTTTATCTTACTTATATACATAACAACATATTTACATACATCTCTCATAACCAGCTTGTGACCTTACTCACCTACAGTCTTCTTTGTATCAAGGTAGCTTGACAAGGTCTCAGACAGTTCTGCACTTCACCTTCCTGACCAGGCAGCAACACTAGCATTGTCTCAATTACTTTAACACGCCAGTGACACTCAGTATCCAAAATGATCTTCTCACCAGTCACAGAACAGGACAAACATTTTAATCCTTTTCTACTGACATCCAAGTGTACTCCCCAATGCCAGACATCTTAAAACCACTATGTTACCCTGGTTCAACCAGGATGTAAGCTAAGTTAAGATGGCTGTAGAATACTGGAAGTTCCCTGAGCCACTCAACAAAAGTAAGATTAAAATGTCAACTCATTGCTTTATCTTGGTATTAATCTCTCTCTCACACACGCACACTTCTCCCAAGCTTGAAAATTATTTGCAAAGGATAAATGAAGGGGGGCTAAGATTATAAAATTTAAGTTCTCAGTTTTTGAGAGTCAACACATTTTGCTTTTCAGTCCAGTATCAGAGTACTTCATCTATATGGATTCTTAAGTAGCTCTGCCTCTACTCCCCTTTCCCCAATCCCACAGCACCATCTGATCTTACAGATATGGCTCAGAGAAATAATGTGGCATCAGCTTCCCAAGTTTCCAAAAAGTGACTGGTGACTGCTACTACTCGTTTTGTTGGAAAGCCATACAAAGTACAATTAACTACGAGTCTGGACTGTTAGTCAGAACTCTGTTTGTGACAGACATTTGAAATTGATGTGATCTTCATGAGTTTCCCTGCATCTCTTGACCTAGAAAAGCTCAAAAGACATCAGGACCAAGCACCAATTGTAAAGAGCTACAATTCAGCTTTAAAGGAAATAACTAAACACATGAGGGGCTTGCCAGGCAAAGAACTAAACAGGTGCAAGCAGCACTAACCGCACTACCATCCTTTACTCATGAGACATATTGTATTTAAAATTATATGGGAAAGAGACCCTGTCTTTCTAGTGTTCTGCAGATATTTACATTGCTGTCATGTACAG